GCCTGTGAGCTGTGAGGAGCTTCCTGAAGAGTCCAAGCTTCTGTCCAGGGTGTTATCTTGCAACGTGAGCTCTCCCATCTTCAAAGCAGGCCACTTAGTCTCCTCTTTGATCATGCCACACTTTCCTGAGCCGTTCCTACCTATTTGCTGAGATTACAGGCATAAGCCACCATGCCCGGCCGAATTATTCTTATACAACAACATTAAATGCTTCTTTGCTGGATGTGGTGGCACAATTCCAGCTACCTGGGGGGCTGAGGTAGAGAAGTGCTTACGCCAAAGGGTTCAAGGCCACAGGGAGCTATGATCGTGCCAATGCACTCTAGCCTGGGCAACAGAGCAAGACTCTGTGTCTACACAAAATTAAATAATTAGCCAGGTGTGGTGGGGTGTGCCTGTAGTCCTGCTACTCAGGAGGCTGAGGTGGGTGGATCGCTGGAGTCATGTTTGAGGCTGCAGTGAGCTATGATTACACCATTGCCCCCCAGCTTGGGCAACACAGCGAGACCTTGTTTCAGAAACAAACAAACAAACAAAAAAACAGAAACAAAAAAACCTGGGCTGGGTGCGGTGGCTCACTCCTGAGGTCAGGAGTTCAAAACCAGACAGGGCAACATGTTGAAACCTCATCTCTACTAAAAATACAAAAATTAGCTGGGCGTGGTAGCGCAGCTACTTGGGAGGCTGTAGTCCCAGCTGCTTGGGAGGCTGAGGCAGGAGAACCACTTGAACCCAGGAGGTGGAGATTCAGTGAGCCGAGATCACTCCACTGCACTCTAGCCTGGGTGACAACAGCAAGACTCCATCTCAACAATAAAAAAAAGAGAGAAAAAAAATAACGGGAATCAAACAGTTCTGTGTTCAAGTTCTTACGGATCCCTACTGTTACCCAGTTATGACACCTTGGGAAAGTCCCTTAACCTCCCTGAACCTCTATTTCCTTATCTGTTTCCTTCCCAGGCTGAGACTGAAATCTGTCCTTTACAAAATTGGGATGAATGGTTTAATAATGCTTAGCCCATGATAAGGTTCATTTTGTAAATGGTTACTGAATGCATAGAGGTAGTGGCATTTTAAAAACTTCACAATAGTCTCCTCTTTGATCATGCCACACTTTCCTGAGCCGTTATTATCTCTTTGACCTGTTTGAGCACTTCCGGTTTTTCAGCATTATAGTGTTGCAATTACCCCCCTACACCCAACTTTTATTTTTGAGATAAGGTCTCACTCTGTTGCCCAGGCTAACGCGTAGTGGCGCAAGCATGGCCCACTGCAGCCTCAAACTCCTGGGCTCAAGTGACTCTCCTGTCTAATAGCTGGGACGACAGGCATACCCCACTATGCCCGGCTAATTTTTAAAAATCTTTTGTAGGCCAGGTATGGCGGCTTACACTTGTAATCCCAGCACGTTGGTAGGCCAAGGCAGGCAGATTCCTTGAGCCCAGGAGTTCAAGAGCAGCCTGAGTGACATAGAGAGACTCCATCTCTGCTAAAAACACAACAATTAGCCGGACATGGTGGCACATCCCTGTAGTCCCAGCTACTTGGGAGGCTGAGGCAGGAGGACTGCCTGAGCCTGGGAGTCAGAGGTTGCAGTGAGCCGAGATCGCACCACTGCACTCTAGCCTGGGCAACAGAGTAAGATCCTGTATTTAAAAGAAAAAAGATTATTTTGTAGAGATGGAGTCTCACTGCTGTTCAGGTTGATCTCGAGCTCCTCAAGTAATCCTCCCACCTCAGCCTCCCAAAATGCTGGGATTTCCAGTGTGAGCTACCTTTCCTGGCCTTGCAGTGACTATTTTGTACTAAGCCTCTGTCTGCAGCCCTGATTCTTGGGCCCTTTCCCTCTGAGAAGGTGCCATGACAGGGACAGAGCCCCTGGGGGACGTAGGCCAGGAGGGCTGGTGGCCTCTGGGGGAACCTTGGCCTTGTTCATTAACAAACCTGTTCCCTCCTTTCACTCCCAGCCCCATAGCCAGATGCCTGTGAGCTGTGAGGAGCTTCCTGAAGAGTCCAAGCTTCTGTCCAGGGTGTTATCTTGCAACGTGAGCTCTCCCATCTTCAAAGCAGGCCACTCGGTGAGTGCTTCAAGTCTCCAGGGACCAAGCAGCCTAGGGACCCTGAGCTGGCAGAGGGCAGGGAGCTCTTGGCTCAGGAGGAGGGAGTAGGTGATTGTCAGGAAGGGTGTACCTTGCCCCTACCCAAGAGAAATGTATGTGAATCTGTTTCGTGTCATGTTTGAGAGCCTGGACTTTGGAATCAGGCAAAGCTGGGATTGGGTTATTCATTTTGTGACCTTGCAGACATGACTTAACTGTTTGGAGCCTTGGTTGCCTCATCTTCGCATTGGGTAGAATCCTAGCTCAGTGCTTGGGGTGCAGTGAGTACTTGATAAGGGGTCCCTGAGATGATGGTGATTGGATGTGGGGGCCGTGGGGCTGCTCCTCACGCCCCTTGCATTTCCACTCCCCTCTCCTTCCCTGCCAGGTTGCTCTGCAGATGATGTTTAATACGCTGGTAAACAGCTCCTGGGGGGACTTGGTCGAGTTGCGGGCCAATGTGACCTGGTGAGCAGGCCCCGCCCACATCCCTGCCCTGGTCTCAGACCTGGCCAAGCCCTTCTCCTAACACTGGCCTCTTCCTTGCCTCAATGCAGTAACAATGAGGACTCAGGCCTCCTGAAGGACAACTCGGCCACTACCAGCATCCCCATCCTGTACCCCATCAACGTCCTCATCCAGGAGTAAGTCCTTCCCAGCAGACAGCCAACCCTCTCCTCCCACCGCAGCCTCCCAACCCAGGGCCCCGACTTTGCCCCCTGGGGCTCCCCTTCTGAACCTCCTTCCTTTCCCAGAGCCCCCTGGGGTAATTAGAACTGATTCCAGCCACAGCCCCAACAGTTTTCCACGTTCCAAAATGTGAGGGCCCTGGAAGAGTTCGGGGAAGGATCAGCATTTACTGATGGAAGAAAAGGCTCATTGAACACTGATCTTATATCAGACTGAGGGCCGGCTGCACTACGCGGTTGCTGACATTGCCTGGAGCCCTCAGCACCTCTGTGAGGCAGCTGTGCCTCTCTCCGTTTTACCAATGAACAAGCTGAGGCTCAGAGAAGGCCAGCACTTACCCGAGGTCCAATAGCTGGAAGTACTAAAGCCAGGGTCTGAGCTTCAGCCTGTCTGACTCCAAACGCCCAGCCAAACTCCTGACTGTTTCAGTCACCTAGATTCTCTCCCCACCTGGGGGCCGATAATGTCAGGAGAGACAGGAGAAAAGTTATCACAATACCTCTTGCCCTCAGGGAGCTTACAGTCAAGTTGGAGAGACCAAACTCATGCACACACATAGTGACTCTCAGAACGCAGTAGCAGGAAGGAACCATGGGGATCACTAGTTGGGTTTGTAACTGAACCATGGTCTGGCTGCTTGTTACTTGAAAGCCAGACTTAAGAGGCAAGAGTTGGTGGGAGGAAAGGCAGGTTTATCTGGAAAGCCAGGCAATTGAGAAGATAGTGAACTAGTGTTCTAAAGGACCATCTTTAATGTTAAGGGTAGGGGGAAGAGAAAGGGGTTGAGATCAAGAGGTAACTTAGCAGCACAGACATCCGGGCACCAGAGACGATACAAGGAGGTTGGGAACTTCTTGGTCCTTGGTCAGGTCACAGTGCTTCTATAAATCTTTTTTTTTTTTTTTTTTTTTTTTTTTGAGACGGAGTCTCAGTCTGTCGCCCAGGCTGGAGTGCAGTGGCACGATCTCTGCTCCCTGCAAGCTCCGCTTCCCGGGTTCACGCCATTCTCCTGCTTCAGCCTCCGGAGTAGCTGGGACTACAGGCGCCCGCCACCACGCCCGGCTAATTTTTTTTTTATTTTTTTTTTATTTTTAGTAGAGACGGGGTTTCACCGTGTTAGCCAGGATGGTCTCGATCTCCTGACTTCGTGATCTGCCCGCCTCGGCCTCCCAAAGTGCTGGGATTACAGGCTTGAGCCACCGCGCCCGGCCAGGCTTCTATAAATCTTTAACAAAACGTAGTTAGTTGTTTACATACGTCCCCTTTAATGCCAGACTTAGTTTTAAAAACTACATGATTGCTGTTTTTGCATGTTATCTCAGTGCTCTAAAATTATCCTAACCTATGGGCAGGAATGGGTAAGGGCCTCTTCAACAAAAATAGAGGGAGTTACGTCAATTTTTTGCTATTTCAAAAAAACCTGTTAAAGGTCTTCTCGCTTATAGAAAAGGAAACTTGGCCAGGTGCAGTGGCTCACACCTGTAATCCCAGCACTTTGGTAGGCCAAGGTGGGTGGATCACTTGAGGTCAGGAGTTCAAGACCAGCCTGGCCAACATGGTGAAACCCTGTCTCTATTAAAAATACAAAAATTAGCTGGGTGTTATGGCAGGCACCTATAATCCCAGCTACTTGGGAGGCTGAGGCAGGAGAATCACTTGAACTCGGGTGGAGGAGATTGCAGTGAGCTGAGATCGCACCACTGCACTCCAGCCTGGGTGACAGAGTGAGACTCTGTCTGAAAAAAAAAAAGGAAACTCAAAGTCGAGTGGCTTTTTCCAGTTGGCTCAGTTACAGAAGGAAAAAGAAGGATGAGGACAGTGTCTGAGCCCAGGTCTCCAGTGCTTTTTAAAATTTTCTTATTTTTTTATTTATTTTTATTTTATTTATTTATTTATTTATTTTGAGACAGAGTCTCACTCTGTCACCCAGGCTGGAGTGCAGTGGTGTGATCTCGGCTCACTGCAAGCTCCACCTCCTGGGTTCACGCCATTCTCCTGCTTCAGCCTCCCGAGTAGCTGGGACTACAGGTGCCTGCCACCATGCCCGGCTAATTTTTTATATTTTTAGTAGAGACTGGGTTTCACCGAGTTAGTCAGGATGGTCTTGATCTCCTGACCTCATGATCCGCCTGCCTCGGCCTCTCAAAGTGCTGGGATTACAGGCGTGAGCCACCGCGCCTGGCCAAATTTTTTCATTTTTTAAGAGAGAGGGTCTCGCTCTGTTGCCCGGGATGGAGTGCAGTCGCACAATCTCCGCTCACTGCAACCTCCACCTCCCGAGTTCAAGCAATTCTCCTGCCTCAGCCTCCCAAGTAGCTGGGACTATAGGTGCCCATGACCACGCTCGGCTAATTTTTGTGTTTTTAGTAGAGATGGGGTTTCACCATGTTGGCCAGGCTGGTCTTGAACTCCTGATCTCAGGTGATCCACCTGCCTCAGCCTCCCGAAGTGCTGGGATTACAGGTGTGAGCCACCGCACCTGGCCTGCAGTACTTTTGGACATCAATGCCACACAGTATGATACTGACATGAAATTAGAGCCAGGAAAGATGAGTGTGGGTTGGAGGACAAATGGAAGGGTTTGTGGAGAAAGTGCGGCTTGGATTGGGGTCTGGAGGATGAGGCCATTAGGGGAAGAGCTAAAAAGGAACCTAGGTGTCCTCATCAGAAACCATGGCCCAGACAAAGGCAAGGAGGGAGGAAGCAGTGGGGCAGACATGGGGGACGGGGAGTGGGCAGGATTACCCGAGGGCAGGTGTGTGCAGGGGAGCAGTGGGGAGACAGCCTGGACACGGGAGGCTTTGGACCTGACCCTCCCTCACAGTAGGGGGCGGTTGGCAGATGCTGAGCAGGTGAGTTGCAGGACTAGAGAGTGATGTTGGGAAGGTCACCCAGCAGTGTGTGTTGGAAGGATGGGTGTGAGAGGCATCAGCAGTGGATATGATTATTCAGGAGATGAGCAGGGCCCAGAGGACAGTGGAGACACCAACGAGGTGGCGCACAGTGGGAAGGACATAGCCTCCACTGGACACACCTCCCTGGGCTCCAGTCCTGTCTCTCTACTGTGGGGCTTTGGACAAGAGGCTGGCCCTGTCCAGGAGCGTTAGTTTCTGGGAAAGAGCAGGTTGTGGTAGGGATTGAATGAGATGGTGTCTGTGCAGTTCCTAGCGCAGTGGCTGGGTGCTCAGAAGCTTCCTGGAGCCCAGGTTGCTGTCACTTCATTCTTCCATCACTGCCCTTCTCTCTCCACAGCCAGGAAAACTCCACACTCTATGTCAGTTTCACCCCCAAAGGCCCCAAGATCCACCAAGTCAAGCACATCTACCAGGTATGAACCCCAATGTGGAAGGTCCTTATAGGTCACACATTCATTCCTTATCCTGGGGACTGAGGATGCAGGCACCAAGTAGACACAGTCCTCATCCTAGCCGTCCACCTGTTCAATAATCCTTTCTCTAGAGCGTCACAGCCTCCACTTATAGGCTTCCAGCAGCAGCATATGCTAACTCCTTTCTGCCACTGGATACATTATTTCAAGAATCACAGGGTTTGAGAGCAAGGAGGATGCTGAGAGAGAACCTACTTTTTCATACTCACATTGAATGAGCTGCTATTCTTTGCTCTGTTACCCAGGCTTGAGTGCAGTGGTGGGATCTCGGCTCACTGCAAACTCTGCCTCCCAAGTTCAAGCAATTCTCGTCTCAGCCTCCCAAGTAGTTGAGGTTACAGGCATCCACCACCATGCCCAGCTAATTTTTGTATTTTCTATAAAGACAGAGTTTTGCCATGTGGGCCAGGCTGGTCTGGAACTCCTAACTTCAAGTGATCCACCCACCTCAGCCTCCCAAAGTACTGGGACTACAGGCATGAGCCACTGCGCCCGGCCTATTCTAAGTTAGGTATTTAGCTAGGTGCTGGCACCCTGCCCAGTCTCTAAACCCAGGTTCTGTGCCTGGTGCTTTATTTTTATTTTTACTTTTTTTTTTTTTTTTTTCAGACAGAGTCTTGCTCTGTCACCCAGGCTGGAGTGCAGTGGCGTAATCTCAGCTCACTGCAACCTCTGCCTCCTGGATTCAAGCGATTCTCCTGCCTCAGCCTCCTGAGTAGCTGGGATTACAGGTGCACACCACCACACCCAGCTAACGTTTGTATTTTTGGTAGAGACAGGGTTTCACCGTGTTGGCCAGGCTGGTCTCAAGCTCCTGACCTCAAGTAATCCACCCACCTCAGCCTCCCAAAGTGCTGGGATTACAGGCATGAGCCACTGTGCCCGGCCTGGTCTCAACACATTCTAAACCAAATTTGCTGTCTTCCCCTAAGCCAGCATCTCCTCTGGCTTGCATGGAATCTTTTGAAAGCACCCTCTCTTCCTCAAGGAAAACTTACGTGTCTGGGTGAATTTCTCCTCCCTTCTGCCTTGTCCCACTGCCTCCCGGAGTCTGGTTGTCTGTGTCCTTTTTCTGCTACTGCCCAGACCCAGTTCCTCACCTTCTTGCAACTGGACTATTGAGAGAGGCTCCCAACGTGGGCCATGACCCGCCTCTCCCAGCCTCTTTCCAGCTCATGCCTGCAGGGGATGGACCTCCCTGGAGCCACTCTCTTCCTCTGCCATCTTCCGTGACTTCCCACTGCCTCCTTGATGCTGCTCCAACTCCTCACTCTCAAGCCTTCCAGGCCCCCATAGTCTGATCTTGGGCTTCCTTTCCAGCCTCAGCTCCCGTTCTCCTTCCCAGGCACCCTCCTTCCAGCCACATCACTCTCATCTGGAGTCATCCTGGCTCCCTGCATGTCTCTTCCTGGATGCCCTCTCCCACCTTCATCTGTTAAAATCCTGTCCATCTGGTCGGGCATGGTGGTTCACACCTGTAACCCCAGCACTTTGGGAAGCCCAGGTGGGCGGATCACCTGAGGTCAGGAGTTCAAGACCAGCCTGGCCAACATGGTGAAACCCTGTCTCTACTAAAAATACAAAAATTAGCTAGGCGTGGTGGTGTGTGCCTGTAGTCCCAGCTACTGGGGAGGCTGAGGCAAGAGAATCGCTTGAACCTGGGAGGTGGAGGTTGCAGTGAGCTGTGATCACGTCACCACACTCCAGCCTGGGTGACAGAGCGAGACTCTGTCAAAAATAAAAATAAAAATAAAAATCCTGGCCATCTTTCACAGTCAAATTCAAATCCTGCCTCTGACATTTGGCCTTTTTAATTTAACTGGTATTTCAAGTGTCCACAAATGTTTGTTGAATGAATAAATGATAGAATCCTTCTAATTTGACACACATTTTCCTGCTTCCTAAGACATTGTTAGTGCCACTTCTGTGTCACTTTCTTATACATATCTGGGTCTCCTAGCCTTAACACAGGTAGTTCTTTTTTTAATAAAAGGTGCTCAAAAAAATTTTTTTTTTTTTGTCGCCCAGGTTGGAGTGCAGTAGTGTGATTTCGGCTCACTGCAACCTCTGCTTCCTGGGTTTAAGCAATTCTCCTGCCTCAGCCTCTGAAGTACCCAGCACTATATGATTGCGCCACCACGTCTGGCTAATTTTTGTATTTTTAGTAGAGACAGGGTTTTTCACCATCTTGGTCAGGCTGGTCTCAAACTCCTGACCTCAAGTGATCCGCCCACGTTGGCCTCTCAAAGTGCTGAGATTACAGGTGTGAGTCACCACACTAGGCACCGTGTCAAGCAGTAGGGGATTGGAAGTGGCGTAAGAATGGCTCCTGTCCTCAGGGAGCTCATGGTCTAGTGGAGATGCAGACATCCAAGCAGATCCTTCGCTGTCCTGCTGGGGACGCAGAGGACTCTGTGGGAGCCCAGTAAGGGGAGCTGCCCTGTCCTTGGGGAGTCAGCGAATCCTTCAGAGATAATATTAGAGCAGAATGTTGCAGGGTGTGTGAAAGCGTACTGGGTGGAGAAAGCTGGAAGAGCATGGAAGCCACACTGCAAGGCCCTGAGGATGGAAGCTGGCCACGCCCAGTCACTGGACACTGCCTAACCACCAAGGGCCCTGGGGACTCAGCTGATGAGGACTGGAAGAGGCGTGCAAGGGCACACAGGGTCTGGGTAGCAGCTGGGGTGGCTGGCATTTAGGGCTCTGCATCCCTTGTCATCTGTGCCAGGTGAGGATCCAGCCTTCCATCCATGACCACAACATCCCCACCCTGGAGGCCGTGGTTGGGGTGCCACAGCCTCCCAGCGAGGGGCCCATCACACAACAGTGGAGCGTGCAGATGGTGAGTGCTGCCTGGAGAGGGAGGGGCTGCCCTCCCCAGGTCTTGGGGGTGAGTGCATTTGAGGGTACAGAGGGCAGGGCTTGGCCGGGTGCGGTGGCTCTGCCTCCCAAATCCCAGCACTTTGGGAGGCCAAAGTGGGAGAATCGATTGAGGCCAGGATTTTGAGACCAGCCTGGGCAACACAGCAAGACCCCAGTCTCTACGAACAAATTTTAAAATCAGCCAGGCATGCATGGCGGCCCGTGCCTGTGGTCCCAGCTACTCAGGAGGCAGAGGCCGGAGGATCACTTGAGCCCAGGAGTTTGAGGTTGCAGTGAACTATGATCGCACCACTGCACTCCAGCCTCGGCGACAGAACAAGACCCTGTCTCTAACAAAGAAAAAGAGAAATTCAAGGGGGGCAAGGCTGGGTGTGTGGGGAGTGAGGATGGATTAATTCAGATCCTGCTGGACTCAGAGATGTCTGAACTCACCCAGGACTAGGGCCAGGATAGGGGAAAGCTGGGATGCCAGGGTCTTACCTGGGTTGTAGAGGCTCTAACTGAAGACCTGCCGCTCATTCCTAGGAGCCTCCTGTGCCCTGCCACTATGAGGATCTGGAGTGGCTGCCGGATACGGCTGAGGTATGGGCGTGTGAGCTGAGAGACAGTGGGGCTGGGCGGCACACAGTTCGGAACAAGGCCGCCCTGACCCCTCTTTCCTCATCCTCGTCAGCCTTGTCTCCCCGGAGCCCTGTTCCGCTGCCCTGTTGTCTTCAGGCAGGAGATCCTCGTCCAAGTGATCGGGACCCTGGAGCTGGTGGGAGAGATTGAGGTAGTTCCTGCTCCTAACAGATGTGGAATCGCTGTGGGGGCCCCAATGCCTGGGGCTGTTGGGGGTGGGCTCCCACCAGACAGTCTGCCTCCATTTTTCTTTTCCATCTTCATGAAATATCCCCTCTTTACACAGTTACAGGTGAAAGAGAACCATGATTTCTGTGAAATGTGCAATGCTGTTTTCATGGGCCTATGGATAGTTCCTATGTGTTCTTTATAGAAAAGCTTTCCTTACAACAATGGGGAGTGACATATTAGGGTGCCACAGTAGAGGCTGAGGCAGGGCTCATGCCTGTAATCCTAGCACTTCAGGAGGCTGAGGTGGGCGGATCACTTGAGGTCGGGAGTTCGAGACCAGCCTGGCCAACATGGTGAAACCCGGTCTGTACTAAAAATATAAAACTTTAGCCGGGCGTGGTGGCACATGCCTGTAATCCCAGCTACTCAAGAGGCTGAGGCATGAGAATCCCTTAAACCTGGGAGGCAGAGGTTGCAGTAAGCCAAGATGGCACCACTGCACTCCAGCCTGGGTGACAGAGCAAGATTCCATCTCAAAAAAAAATTGAAAGAATGCCACACTAGAAAGTTGAGTAGAGATGGGTGCACCCCACTGGAACCCCTTCTCTGCCCTTCCCCACTGTGTTGTGATGGGGGCAGAGGCCAGTGGGTCCTGTCCTCCTTCTCCCGGGTTCTGACGCCTTTCCCCACTCCCGCAGGCCTCCTCCATGTTCAGCCTCTGCAGCTCCCTCTCCATCTCCTTCAACAGCAGCAGGCATTTCCACCTCTATGGCAGCAACGCCTCCCTGGCCCAGGTATCTCTACCTCCTCGGAAGCCCCAGGAACAGGCAACAGAGGGAGTCCAGGAGCCCCAGGGTAGACCGAGATGTAGGACAGCTCCTGGGCTCTGTGCCAGTCAGAGCTTCCCCACTGCCAGAGCCATCAGCCTGGGAGAAGCTTCTTCTTCCCTTGGTGGGCTCACAACCCCAAAGTCACCTGAGATGTAGTGGACTTATGTGTCAAGTAAAGATCAATCGAGGCCAGGTGTGGTAGCTCACACCTGTTATCCTAGCACTTTGGGAGGTCAGGTAGGCAGATCACGTGAAGTCAGGAGTTCAAGACCAGCCTGGCCCACATGGTGAAACCCCATCTCTACAAAAATACAAAAATTAGCCGGGCATGATGGTGGGTGCCTGTAACCCCAGCTGTTCGGGAGGCTAAGGTGAGAGAATCACTTGAACCTGGGAGGCAGAGGCTGCAGTGAGCTGAGATCCTGCCATTGCACTCCAGCCTGGGCAACAGAGTGAGACTTCATCTCAAAAGGATCTGTCAGAGGCAGGCATGGTGGTTCATGCCTGTACTTAGCGCTCTGGGAGGCTGAAATGGGAGGATCGTTTGAGCACAGGAGTTCAAGGCTGCAGTGAGCTATGATTATGCCACTGCACTCCAGCCTGGGCAACACAGTGAGACCCTACCTCAAAAAAAAAAAACAATCAATCTGATGGCAACTTAGCAAAGGAGCTACCAAGCCAAGAGTCAGACAGTGAAGAAAGGGTGCTCTAAGCAGCGGCAGCGGCAAGTTCAGGGGCCTCTGTGGTGAGCGTGGGCAGGGCAGGTTTGAAGAGCAGAAAGTTCAGTGTGGCTGGCAGGCAGAGGGGAGGAGGGAAGATGCATCTAACAGGTAAGCAGAAGCCAGATTCTGGACAGCTTTGAATGCTGAGCTGCGTGTGATTCCAGGGAAGCCATTGAAGGCCTAGGGCTGCCTAAGGTGTGTATTGGCCAAGTCACGGCAGCGACTGCAATAGGTGATGCGTTGAAGGGAGAGGGTCTGCAGCAGGAGACTCCAGGCGGGTGATGCAGTCCGGATAGGAGGAGATGGAGAATGCCACCAGGTTCACAGGGACTTTCGGGGGTGGAAAAGGCATTTTCCGACACTCTCCTCCCCCTACCCCCAGGTTGTCATGAAGATTGACGTTGTGTATGAGAAGCAGATGCTCTACCTCTATGTGCTGAGTGGCATCGGGGGGCTTCTGCTGCTGCTGCTAATTTTCATAGTGCTGTACAAGGTGGGTGCCTCCGGGGGCCACGGGCATTGCTGAGACAGCCAGGCTGGGGAAGGGTATCTGGTGGGAGCCAGGGAGGAGAATACCAAGCCAGAGGGCATTAGAGCCAGGGAGCCTCAGCTTACTCCCTCCTTCGACAGAGAAGGCTACTGAGGTCCAAAGAACAGGTGGAGTGGCTCATACCTGTAATCCCAGCACTCTGGAGGCCGAGGCAGGTGGATCACGTGAGCGCAGGAGTTCAAGACCAGCCTGGGCAACATGGCAAGCATCCGCCTCTACAAAAAAATTTTCAAATTAGGGGGACGTGATGCCACCCACCTATAGTCCCAGCTACTCGGGAGGTTGAGGTGGGAGGATCCCTTGAGCTCAGGAGGTCAAGGCTGCAGTGAGCCATGATGATGCCACTGCGCTCCAGCCTGGGTGACACAGCGAGACCTTGTCTCACACACACACAAAGAGCAAAAGAGACTTTTCCACTGTCATTCAGCCCATCCCTGGCAGAGCCAAGACAAGGCACCCTGGGAGAGGAAAAGGAAGTACCCCAAATATGGAAGTCCTTCTGGCTGCTGGGCACTGTCCCAGGAGGCACATGCCACAAACATGCTCCCTGCCATTGAGGCGCTCACAGTCTAAGAGGGGACACAGGCAGGAGCAAGCAGAATGAGGGTTGCAAAGGGTCTGTGTGGCCTGGGGCTTAGAACCCAGGAGACTCACTTAGGCTGTGAAGGCCTGGCAGGCCTCCCAGGAAAGGTGGCATTTGAGGTGGGATTTGAAGGCTAAGTAGAAGTTACAGATTAAAAGGCCGGGCACGGTGGCTCAAGCCTGTAATCCCAGCACTTTGGGAGGCCGAGATGGGCGGATCACGAGGTCAGGAGATCGAGACTATCCTGGCTAATATGGTGAAACCCCGTCTCTACTAAAAAATACAAAAAACTAGCTGGGCGAGGTGGCGGGCGCCTGTAGTCCCAGCTACTCGGGAGGCTGAGGCAGGAGAATGGCGTAAACCCGGGAGGCAGAGCTTGCAGTGAGCTGAGATCCGGCCACTGCACTCCAGCCTGGGTGACAGAGCGAGACTCCGTCTCAAAAAAAAAAAAAAAAAAGAAGTTACAGATGAAGGCCAGGTACGGTGGCTCACACCTGTAATCCCAGCACTTTGGGAGGCAGAGGCAGGTGGATCACCTGAGGTCGCAAGTTCGAGACCAGCCTGACCAACATGGAGAAACCCTGTCTCTACCAAAAATAGAAAATTAGCCGGGCATGGTGGCTCATGCCTGTAATCCCAGCAGCTTAGGAGGCTGAGGCAGGAGAATTGCTTGAACCTGGGAGGCGGAGCTTGCGGTGAGCCAAGATGGTGCCATTGTACTCCAGCCTGGGCAATAAGAACAAAACTTCATCTCAAAAATAAAATAAAATAAAGTGTTCTCGCTCGGCTCGGGGACTCATGCCTGTAATCCCAGAACTTTAGGAGGTCAAGGAGGGCAGATCACTTGAGGACAGGAGTTTGAGACCAGCCTGGCCAACATGGTGAAACCCTGTCTCTACTAAAAATACAAAAATTAGCCGGGCGTGGAGGCAGATGCCTGTAATCCCAGCTACTCAGGAGGCTGAGGCAGGAGAATCGCTTTAAGTCTGGGAGGCAGAGGCTGCAGTGAGCCGAGATCACACCACTGCACTCCAGCCTAGGCAACAGAGTGAGACTCCATCTCAAAAAAAAAAAAAAAAAAGAAGTTACAGATGAAGGCCAGGTACGGTGGCTCACACCTGTAATCCCAGCACTTTGGGAGGCAGAGGCAGGTGGATCACCTGAGGTCGCAAGTTCGAGACCAGCCTGACCAACATGGAGAATTGCTTAAGTCTGGGAGGCAGAGGCTGCAGTGAGCCGAGATCACACCACTGCACTCCAGCCTAGGCAACAGAGTGAGACTCCATCTCAAAAAAAAAAAAAAAAAAAAAGAGAGAAAGAAAAAAGTGTTCTCACATTTTCTTGGGGCCAGTGCTCGGTGAATTTTTTGCTCACTCAAATTTTGTCTTTGTACAGGTTGGTTTCTTCAAACGGAACCTGAAGGAGAAGATGGAGGCTGGCGGAGGTGTCCCAAATGGAATCCCTGCAGAAGACTCTGAGCAGCCGGCGTCTGGGGAAGAGGCTGGGGATCCGGGCTGCCTGAAACCCCTCCACGAGGAGGACTCTGAGAGTGGCGGTGGCAAGGACTGAGTCCAGGCCTGTGATGTGCAGAGGGTCCAGAACTGAACTCAGGACGCCCAGGGCCACTCTGCCTCCGCCTGCATTCCGCTGTGTGCTCTCGGGCGAGTCACTGCCCCTCCTTGGCCCTCAGTTTCCCTATCTTGAACATGCATGGAGCTCATGCCTGCCTGTCTCCTTTGCAGGCTCATAGGGAGGACCTGCTGAGGGACCAGCCAGGAGGGCTGCAAAAGTGAGGGTTTGTCATGACCAGACGGTCCACCAGCCTTTCTTGGTTTCCTTCCTTGGAAGAGAATGTCTGATCTAAATGTGGAGAAACTGTAGTCTCAGGACCTAGGGATGTTCTGGCCCTCACACCTTCCCTGAGATGTCCACAGATGCCTCCCCCTCCGCAGAACCTCTCCCTGCCCACTCCCCTGCACTGGAGTCCAGTCTCTTCTGCTGGCAGAGAGCAAATGTGACCTGTCTCACTACATGACTGCGGCACATGCCTTGCTCTTGGCCAAAGACCAAATTCCTTGGCATGCCTTTCAGCACCCTGCAAAATGAGACCTTTGTGGCCTTCCCCAACCTATTCTAGAGCCATGCTGCCTCCTTGTCGAAGCTCCAGTGACACCAGCCTTTCTCCCAGGCTAGGCTCCTTCCTGTCTTCCTGCATTCACCCAGACGGCTCCCTCTGTCTGAACCTTCCACCTGGCCACCCCTCCTTCCTCGGCTGGCAGATCCTAGCTCACATGTCAGACTCGGTTGGGTCCCCACGTCTTTCACACTTCCTCCAGCCTGCACTACTCCTTCAAAGCATACGTCTTGTTTCTTCATCCAGCAGCCTGGATGTTTTTCCCTGTTTAATGATTGACATACTTAGCAGCTATCTTTCAGTGAACTCTGAGGGTAAAGGTCATATTTGTCTTGTTCACCTTGGGATGCCTCGTGATATGTCAGGGCGTGGGACATCTAGTAGGTGCTTGACACAATTTCATTGAATTAATGACAAAGCCTGTGGGAAGATACAGAAAAAGAGGGGATGGACTGGGCGTGGTGGTTCATGCCTGTAATCCCAGCACTTTGGGAGGCCAAGGAGGGTGGATCACCTGAGGTCAGGTAAAGACCAGCCTGGCAAAATCCCGTTTCTACTAAAAATACAAAAGCCAGGCGTGGTGGCACACGCCTGTAGTTCCAGCTACTCAAGAGGCTGAGGTAGGAGAATCGCTTGAACCCGGGAGGTGAAGGTTGTGGTGAGCCAAGATTGTGCCATTATACTCCAGCCTGGGCAGCAACAGAGCGAGACTCCGTCTGGAGGAAAAAATAAAAAGAGGGCACGGGCCTGTGACATCCCCATCCTTGGAGGCCGTCTTCCCAGGCTCTGCCCCTGCCCTGGCTCCACACCCTCTCCCAGGACCCATCACACCTGTGCAATGGCTCCCACAGAAAGACTGAGCTCAAAGTGGGAACCACGTCTGCTCACTTGGAGCCCCAGTGCCAAGCACTGTGCCTGCGTGTATTTATCCAATAAATGTGAAATTCTGTCCAGTTTTGCAGTGTTTTTGTGCTGGTGCAATATTGCAGCCCTACTCAATTAAGTGAACATTTCTGGCTGTGTTCTATGGCTCACAACTGTATTCCCAGCACTTTGGGAACCCAAGGCGGGAGGATCCTTCGAGGCCAGGAGTTTGAGACCAACCTGGGCAACATGGCAAAACCTTGTCTCTATAAAAAATTAAAATATAAAAACTTATTTGAGCCTGATTGCACGTACCTGTAGTCCCAGCTACTCAGGAGGCTGAGACAGAAGGATCACATGAGCACAGGAGGTCAAGGCTGCAGTGAGCAATGGTCACATCACTGCAATCCAGCCTGGGCCACAGAGCAAGATACTGCCTCCAAAAAAAAAAAAAAAAAAAAGCCAGACGCAGTGGCTCACATCTGTAATCCCAGCACTCTGGGAGGCTGAGGTGAGCGGATCACATGAGGTCAGGAGTTCAAGACCAGCCTGGCCAACATGGTGAAAACCCCATCTCTACTAAAAATACAAAAAAATTTAGCCAGGCGTGGTGGCGGGCACCTGTAATCCCAGCTACTCAGGAGGCTGAGGCAGGAGAATCACTTGAACCCAGGAGGTGGAGATTGCGGTGAGTCGAGACCACACCATCGCACTCCAGCCTGGGTGACAGAGTAAGACTCCATCTCAAAAAAAATAAAGAAAAAAATAGCACTTCCAACCAGGCGCGGTGGCGCGCTGCAACACAGCCAGACCTGTTTTCTAGCAGTAGCAGCAGCAGCAGCAACGCACTACCCAGATAAGGCCCCTGGCTACTACTGGTGTCTCCCACTTCCCAGGGCGCTGTCCACGCACATGTTTTAAGGACAAGTCTCGTTTACCACATAAAGGTTTTTATTGAACTCAAACTCAGGGGCTCCAAAGCCTGAGGAAAAAGAGGGAGGCTGGGGTTTGCACGCAGAGGCCCAGGCCCCACCCCGAGGCCCCACTCCCCACCCCACCTACCCTTTTATCTGCTCCTGACTCAACAAGGGTTTCAGCAGCTACCAATCTAAGCTAACCCACTCTAATTAGGTAAACCCCCGCCCTCCCCCCTCCCTGCTCTAGCACGTTGCCAAGCCAGGCACCCACCGAGGAGCCACCACTGCAAGGCCAGCCCTCCGCTGACCTCTCTCCATTTCTCCCAGGGCCTCCCGCTGCCGGCCTGGCCTCCCTCCAACCCACTTCCCACAAGTCTCCAGGGCATGTCACTTCCTCCACCCTGGCCCTCTTCTTCCAGCATCCTCAGCTCCTCCATCCTGCTGCGGCTTCTCCACTATCCTCCCTAAAGGTTCTTCTAGTTCCCTGGCCCCTTATCTTCTGCCCAAACCTCCCACCCCTGCTGGGGCCCTGGGTCAGCGCCGGCCCGCCGCATGGGTCCGCTGGTGGCGGATGAGGTCGGAGCTCTGGGAGAAGGCCTTTCCGCAGTCATCGCACTTGTAGGGCCGCTCGCCGCTGTGCACCCGGTGATGCTGCAGCAGCGTGGAGGAGCGGCAGAAGCCCTTGCCGCACACAGCGCACCTGTAGGGCCGCTCGCCCGTGTGGGAGCGCTGGTGCTGGATGAGCGTGGAGGAGCGATTGAAGGTCTTGCCGCAGTCGGGGCAGCTATAGGTGCGGCCTGGCAGGTGGGTGCGGGCGTGGATGGCCAGCACCGAGCTCTGGCCAAAGCGCTTGCCGCACTCAGGGCACTTGAAGGGCTTCTCCCGGGCGTGGCTGCGGGCATGGGGGATAAGGGCCGACCGCTGGGAGAAGCTCTTGCCGCAGATGCCACAGCTGAAGGGCCTCTGACCGGTGTGCACCCTCTGATGGCTGCGCAGGGACGAGTTCTGGCTATAGCACTTGCCGCACTCGGTGCAGCTGTAGGGCCTCTCGTGGCTGTGGGTGCGCTGGTGTCGCAGGAGGTAGGAGCTGTCGCCGAAGGCCTTGCCACAATGTGGGCACTTGTAGGGCTTCTGGCCAGAGTGAGTGCGCTGGTGGCGAAGCAGGTAAGAGCTGTCAGCGAAGGCCTTGCCGCAACGGGGACATTTGTAGGGTCGCTCGCCAGTGTGGGTGCGCTGGTGTTTGATGAGGTCAGAGCTCTGGGAAAAGGCCTTGCTGCAGACCTCACATTTGTAGGGCTTCTCACCGGTGTGAATGCGCTGGTGCTGAATCAGGGTGGAACCCCGCCCGAAGCTCTTCCCGCAGATGCCGCAGATGTTAGGCCGAGGGCCCTGCCCACCCCTGGCCCGGCCACCCCGCCGGCTTGGACCTCGAAGGGCTCCTGTGAGACCCAGGGGATTCTGAAGCATCTCAAACTGTGGTGTAGACAGCAGGGCCCCTGCGGGCATCTCAAAAGGTGGTCCTATGGGCAGGTCCCCTGTGGGCTGCTCCCCAAACCCCTGAGTGAAGGAGTCCAGGGGGTGAACTCCTACAGAGATATTCAAGGGACTCTTTTCCTCGGGGTTCAAAAGCATCTCTGCACCCTCCTGGAATTTGGAACTTTGAGCTTCAAATTCTGGGCTTTGGGTTTTGAGCTCAGGGTTCTGGGATTCATATCTAGAGCTCTCAGATTCATAGCTAGGGCTCCGGGGTTCGTAGCCGGGGCTCCGGGGTTCATAGCCAGGGCTCCGGGGTTCATAGCCAGGGCTTTGGGGTTCATACCTAGGGCTCTGGGATTCAAACTCAGGGCTCTGAGAATCTGATTCAGGGCTTCTGGGTGCAAACTCAGGGCTTGGGGGCACAAGCCCAGGGCTTCGGGACTCAAATCCCGGGCTTTCAGGCTCAAATCTGGGGCTCTGGGGTTCAAACTCGGGGCTTTGTGGCTCAAACCCAGGGCTCTGGGGTTCAAGCCCAAATGGTATCTCTTCGACTTCATAGTCCCCAGTGCCTTCTTGCTGAGAAATTTCCTCTTCCTCATTCTCACTCATGTTGCCTGCAGGATCAGAGAATTACAGAAAATCCAGATCGTGTGAGACCTGGAAGGTCATTTGGTCTATTAGCAACCACACACCTCCCACCTCACAAGCAGGGTTGCTGGCCCTTAGACAAGTGCTGAAATTCCCACGCCCCCCTCAGCGGACCCACGACACCCCAGTCCCCGCCTGCCCCTCCTCCGAGTCCCAGGTGTCCCAGCCCCGGGCCCTCGCTCCCTCCCTGGAGCCACAGTCCCTTCTCCTGCTCGCAGGTCCACTCCTCGGACGGGCGCTCCCTCCTCACCTCTGAGGGACCCTTCGGGGCTCCTCATTTCGTCAGAACTCTGCACATCCTGGGGCTCGAGGCCCCACGGCGACGCCTCCCGCTCCATCCCCGCGGGCTCCCCGTGCAGCGGCGGCGGCGATGGCGGCCGATCCTGCGACCTGGCCTGGGTTGCCCCGAGCCCCGGGGCCCCGCCGCTCGCCCGCCCGCCCGCTCAGCGCCGCGCAAGGGACGCGGCGGCCCAGCCCGAGCCCCCGAGGCCGGACGTCTTGACCCCGCGCCTCTCCAGCGCGCCGGGCCCCTCCCCTGCCCGCGGCCCCGCCCCCTCCCAAGGTCTCGGCCTCCCCGTGGCCCTCACCGGCCCCCGCGCGTCGCGGCCTCGGGGATGAGGGGCTTCGCGACTACCCCGGCGGCCCCCAGCCCCGCTCCCGCCCGAGCCCCCACCGTCCGGCCCCCGGCCCCGGGCTGGGCTGCGCTGTCCAACGGCCGCCCGGCCCCCTCCCCCGCACAGGAAGTGTCCGTCCGCGGCCAGGTCCCCCCGCCGGCTCGCGCCGCGGCCTCTCTAGGAGCCGTTGGAGGTGGAAACTCGTTGGCATTAACCCTGGGCTGGAGGGGCCCGGCCTCGGGGTGGGCGAGGACCTGACACCCCGGAGCCCACCGGGCTACCGGGGCAGTATGTGTGCCTATGTTCTAGGTCCCCGTCCCTCCAAAGGCCCGTCTGTCCATCTCCCTGGCCCTGCGTTGTCGGTGCGTGTGGCCAAGGGCGAGGCGACAAGCGAGACCAAGGTCAGCGAGAAGGAGCGACGCTTCCCGGCGCCAGCGGGGGCGGTGTCTCTCTTCCTCCCCTCCCGGGCCTCCGGGTCAGCTCCGGCAGCGCCTCGGGAACCGGGACGGACTACCCTTGGCCTCGCCGAGGTCCTGGAGCCTGGGACCCCCTCCTGGAACTCCGCTCCCCCGCACCTGCGCGCCCGCTCCCGTTCCTCCGGTCCCCACCCCGCTCGGCTCTCCTGATCCCCCTCCTCCCTCCTAGAGGGCTAGGATAGTTGCCAAGGAGACAGCCCCGCCCCGGCTCCCAGAGGCACCGCTTCTCCGCGCCAGGAAGCCTGGCGGTTGGCCGATGGGGCTCGTGCTCTAGCCGCCCCGCCTCCTCCAACCCCGCGGACGGCGGGGCGTTAATGGTCGCCAGGGAACACCAGGCGCCTTCCTGATTGGCCGGGGGCGCTCTGGTCGGGTCCGCCTCCCCTGTCGGCCAGAAGCCCCTGCAGGAGGTAGTGGGAGGGAGGTGTCAGGCGTCTCCTATCCAGCCGGGCCTGTGCCTTCAAAACTTTTCCCGCCCCTACTTAACCTCTATTATGTTTTATGAAAGCCAGAAGATCTGAGAACAGACACCCTTCCTCCTCGTCAGCCTCACACCCCTTGCCTCTCCCCTCCACCTTCCCCAGCGCCTGAGTTTAACTCAATCCCTGGCAGCCTTTGTCCCTGGTTGCTGGATTTCCTCACAGGGAGGCAGGATTCCTTCCAGGTGAGGGTGATACAGAGGAGAATTGGACTGAGAGAACCATCTGGCCTTCGAGGCATCATCTAACAATTCTCCAGTCTTGTCTGACTCGAATGGAGGCTTGCAGAGGAAGGGAACCTGAGAAACACTGCCTCGGGTGCAGCTTTGAATTGAGGAAGTGAGCCTGGACAGACAACTTAATATCATCCAATTATTGTCTTTTTTTCTACGCTTCGTGCTGAAACAAGTTTGGCAGCGTTCTTGACAGTTAATGAGCCCGATGCCCCTGTGTGATGCAGGAGCCATGGATCGTGTTTTCTTGTCGCCTACTCAGACAAATGAAGGGAAGAGAATGTTTGGGAAGAAGGATGGCCTCTTCTTCATGAAAAGGGATGAGAACAAGAACTTGGAGAATGCCAAGTGGTAAAAAGTGGAGAGAAACTATCTAAAGGCTTACAGGCGGGGCGCGGTGGCTCATGTCTGTAATCCCAGCACTTTGAGAGGCCCAGGCAGGTGGATCACGAGGTCAGGAGTTCGAGACCAGCCTGGCCAAATTGGTGAAACCCTGTCTCTACTAAAAAATACAAAAATTAGCCAGGCGCGATGGCGGGCACCTGTAATCCCAGCTACTTAGGAGGCTGAGGCAGGAGAATCCCTTGAAACGGGGAGGCAGAGGTTGTAGTGAGCCGAGATCTCGCTACTGCACTCTTGTCTGAGTGACAGAGCAGGACTCTATCTCTAATAATAATAGTAATATAAAGGCTTACAAATAAAATCACAAGAGCTCATCCCACAAATGAAGCGGGGAAAACTTTTTGCCCTCCAGAGGAACAACTTCCAGCTCCACAGCTCTCTCCCATCCCAATGTGTTTGTCCTGAAACCTTTGCTAAGAATGGCTTACATGGTCCAATACTAGAGTCCACAGTCAGGACAGCCTACAAGAGGACAAGTTTTGGGAAGAGCTGGACATGGGGTACTCTCTGGTCATCCCCAAAGCACTCAGGTAGGAAACAAATCTCCTTCACAAGATATTTTTCTCTTACCTCCAACTTGCTGATCCACGAAAATTCACACAGGAGAGCATCCACACCCTAAAAATGGGTGGTGAGACCTCCAACCACAGCTCTGACACCGTCCACTGCCTGCACTCTTATGAGCCACAAGTCCCAGGTGTAGCAGAAGCTGGGCCAAGACTTCACGCTGCCCAGGCACCCGCATTTCTACGTGCAAATTCAGCCTCACTGGCACCTGGAGTAAGAGTGGCTCAGTTCCAGCCAGCCTCCTCCAGGACCAGGGTGCCATCTATGCATAGGGACTTCACAAGGAAGCCAGCCTCCACCTGACACACAGCCACAGCAGTGAGAGGCTCCAAGCCCAGTGACCCAACACCAGCTAATCCAAGGCAGGAGAAACTTGGGAGTCCACTGGCCTTGTCCTACCTCTGCATCCATGAGGATGAACCCTGCGCATGTCCTGAGTCGGGTGGTCACTTTGTTCACAGCATTGTCTCCTGGCATGCACAGCACTAGGGCAGAGCCATTCAGTGTGCAGCCAAGGTTTATGGTCCGGCCAACGTGGCCAGTGCTGCAGGATAGAGAGAGCCCTCACAGACGTTCTCAGTGAGAGGAGCTTCTGTGTGCACTGCTCCCTCCCCTCATGCAAAGCACAAGCCCTCTTAAAGGCCTTCCATCTGATGCTACAGGAGATGCCCCTGTGTACTGAACATGATCCTAGGTACCCAGGAAGACAGCGGCCACGGTACAGGGCCCTTTGGAAAGAACAAAGAAATGGAAGTCTTTGTGTATGCCTGACATTGGGGACAGGCCCCGGGACCAACCACTACTCTTGCAAAACTAAGAGCAGTTTGAAAATAATGTTTTGTTCCCAGCAGTGGTTCTCTCAAACTTTCACAGGCATCAAATTCTATCCCTGGAGATTCTCATTCAATAGATGAGGAACTGGGCCCAGGGAGTAGCTACTTTTTTTTTTTTTTTTTTGAGATGGAGTCTCACTGTTGCCCAGGCTGGAATGCAGTGGCGCTATCTCTGCTCAGTGCAACCTCCGCCTCTGAGTTCAAGCGGTTCTCCTCTCAGCCTCCTGAGTAGCTAGGACTATAGGCACGTGCCACCATGCCTGGCAATTTTTTTTTTTTTTTAATGTATCTTTAGTGGAGACGGGGTTTCACCATGTTAGCCTGGATGGTCTCGGTCTCCTGACCTCGTGATCTGCCCGCCTCAGCCTCCCAAAGTGCTGGGATTACAGGTGTGAGCCACTACTCCAGCCGAGAGTAGCTACATTTTTAAAAGATACTCAGCCCGGCCCTGCCTCTAGGTGGAAATATCTACACCACGAACTAAGGAGCTGAGAATGGGGTGGGGCTAAGGCTTAAGGGTTTCATGACACTAAAAAAGTTGATGAAATGCTGGAAAGTTGGGTCATGAGGGCAGGAAGCAGAGGAGTTGGAGTCTGGCTTCTGGGCCCTAAATAAGCTTTACAAACTTCAAAGCACTCAGAGACCTCTAGGTAATAATCATGGCACCTTTAATTGGCATACTCAGGGCCAAGATCTGGCTGTCAGTCTGGGCTGAGAACTGGTGTTGCAAGCTGGGCTTTCCCCAGGCTGTGTTGAGGGTTAGGGGAGGGGACTGGGATGTACACTGGGAATTAAAACCTGGTAGAAAGGTATCTCCTACTGCCAAGGTGCCTCTTCTCACCCCATGTGTCCCTGTGATAAGGTGACACACGAGTCAACCCACCCCAGAAAAGCTGAGGGAGAGAGACCTTGGTGGGGTCGGATTGGAGATGAGGTTGGAATAAAGTCAGTTCATTACTCCACTTGACACAGTGTCTTGTCTCCAAAACTTCTACCTCCTTCCAGGTTGACAAATCTGGTTTCTTCCTCCCTGGGTAGGCCAGACAGGGCTGAGCTGGGTGACAGGCGAGGGTGCACAGGCCAGCAGAGGTCACAGGCCCTTGCTCTCCTTGGGCAGGTGCTACTCATGGCTGGCCTCTGCCCACAAAGGAATTAGTGGTAGATGGATAATGGAGTCGTGAAGTGCTGGGGGGATTCTGTGTAGAGCTTGGGGATACAGATGGGTACAGTTGCCACTGGCTACAAATCTAACACCAGGTGTTCCTGGCCTAGTCCTCTCTGCCCGAGATGGCACATACTTAAAGACAGCAAAGATGGCGCGTACCTAAAGACAGGAAAGATGCAAGGAGTGTTTTGACACAGACATGGGTTCAAGAAATACTTCCCTTTCTTCTTTGCTGTACTTTAAACACCAAAAACACTAGAAGCAAGCAATGATGAATGGCAACGCATGCTTGGTCAGGAGCTGATGGGATGAGTGGCCACGGTAAGTTGGGAGTTCTGGCTCCGGCCCAGCTCCTAACAACTGCGACTTTCTGAGAGCCTAGGTGGACTTGCAAAATCTTTGGATTTTTCTAGAGATGCCAGAAACCTGGATTTTGGTGCAAAATAACCTTTTAAATCTTCACCACTAATTGTTATCACTTAAAAACACTGCCTGGGCCCAAATCAATACAGCAACTGCAGGCCAGATCCAGTACAGGGCCACTGGTTTTTTAAGTTGTGCAGCAAAAAGACAATGAAGGCCAGTGCGGTGGCTCCCCTGTAATCCCAGCACTTTGGGAGGCCAAGGTGGGCAAATTGCTTGAACCCAGGAGTTTGAGACCAGCCTGATCAATATAGTGGGAACCCCATCTCTGCAAAAAAACTAAAACTTAGCCAGGCGTACTACAGGCCCACCTGTAGTCTCAGCCATCTGAGAGGCTGGGGCAGGAGGATTCCTTGAGCCCAGCAGGTCTAGGCTGCAGTGAGCCCAGTTCACACCACTGCATTCCAGCCTGGGTGATGAGCAAGATGCTGTCTTAAAAATATGTAAATAAAGCCGGGCCCCAGCACTTTGGGAGGCCGAGACGGGCGGATCACAAGGTCAGGAGATCGAGACCATCCTGGCTAACACGGTGAAACCCCGTCTCTAATAAAAAATACAAAAAACTAGCCAGGCGAGGTGGCGGGCGCCTGTAGTCCCAGCTACTCGGGAGGCTGAGGCAGGAGAATGGCGCAAACCCGGGAGGCGGAGCTTGCAGTGAGCCGAGATCTGGCCACTGCACTCCAGCCTGGGTGGCAGAGCGAGACTCCGTCTCAAAAAAAAAAAAAAAAAAAAATATGTAAATAAATAAACAGACAATGGGTATTGTGCTGTGGGAGGGTCAAAGAATAAAAAAGAAAAGGCCAGGTGAGGTGGCTTACGCCTGTAATCCCAGCACTTTGGGAGGCAGAGGTGGGTGGATCACCTGAGGGCAGGAGTTCGAGACCAGCCTAGCCAACATGGTGAAACCCCATCTCTACTAAAAATACAAAAATTAGCCAGGCATAGTGTGCCTGTAATTCCAGCTACTCAGGTGGCTGAGGCAGGAGAATCGATTGAACCCAGGAGGCGGACATTGCAGTGAGCGAAGATTGCACCATTGCACTTCCAGCCTGGGCAACAACAGCAAAACTCCATCTCAAAAAATTAAAAAAGTAAAAAGAAAAAACAGAGAAAACAAGGTTCTCCTCTACCTCAATCCTCTTAGCACCTTTGGGAGGAGAAACAGCTTTTGCTTCCCGGTATGGAGGTCTGGGGGGTTCTCACCTCAGCCCTGCCTCAGCAAAGGTGGCCTTGGAGGGCCCAGGGCATCGGGGAGCAAGGTGCTGGCAGAAGAGGCTGTTGAGTGCCCACGTTCAGAATGTCCACACCCCAGGCCAGCTCTTGCCGTGGATTCTGGGACCTCCCTGCAGGCCGCTGCAGAGGTTCGGGCCCCTGAGCCCATCTCGGGCCTCCCGCAATATCTAGATAGTCACTTTTGAGGCCTTCATCCACATTCCTGGAATATCTCTGGGTACAGCTGGAAGCCCACGGGTGGGTCCAGGTCCCCGCGGCCAGGGGTCAGGGTCACAGACAGCCCCCCAGGGCGCCGGCCCCTGCGCCCCTCGCCCCCTGGCCGATGGACCCACTGGTGCTTGGCCATGCCAGTCTTCAGGCCGAAGCAGCGGCCACACTGTGGGCACCGGTAGGGCTTCTCGCCGGTGTGGACCCGCAGGTGCGAAGTCAGAGCCGTGCGGCGCATGAAGGCCCTGCCACACTCGGAACAGCGGTGGGGCCGCTCCCCGCGATGGATGGCCCGGTGTTTGCTCAGGGAGGAAGCATGGCCAAAGCCCTTGCCGCAGTCTGCGCAGTGGAAGGGCTTCTCGCCCCTGTGGCTGTAGATGTGCTCCACCAGCGTGGAGCGCCAGGCGAAGCTCTTCCCGCACACGTAGCAGCCGTGACGCTGGTCTGCTCGGGGCACAGGGGGGTGGACAAAAAAGCGGGGGCGACTCCGGCGCCGCGCCTTGGACAGCTGCTCCAACCTGGTAAAGGGGGCTTGGGGAACCTTCAGCCCAGGAGACCCGGCGGCCACAGGGACAGGCTTCTCCAGGGCTCCCATCCCTTCCCTTTGTGTTTCCTCTTCCTCGTTTCTGGAATCTGCTGGGAGATAAAGACAAGAGAGTTCAGGCTCGGCTCATCCTGGTCCTTGAATCCCACAGCCCGCGTGGACAGGGACAGGCCTGCTGGACCCCCGGCTGCCCCTGGGAGATGGAGGAGTGACACCTGTTCCTCGGCTGCTGAGCCAGACAGAACCGGGAGGGAGGGAAGGAACAGTCCACTCGGCCTCGGGGCTGGGGAAATGTCACCGCATGGAAGGGCAGAGATGACATGAACATCTGGGCCTGATCCAGAAGGAGGAGCGGACACCTGACGATATTCTAGGCAGAAGGAACAGCACCAAGAAAGGCAGAACCAGGCGGGCATGGCCAAGTTCAGTGGGGCTGGATACTCTGCAAAGGCTGAGGCAAGAACGGAAGGAAGGAAATGGGAGGGCGGGGTGGGGGGCGCCTAGGGGGCATAGGAACCATCGTGCAGGAAAACGACTGGGGCGGGTCATGATGTGGAGGTAGAGCCAACGGAACTTAGAGGCCGGGCGCGGTGGCTCATGACTGTGATCCCAGTGCTTTGGGAGGCCGAGATAGAGGATGGCTAGAGTTCCAGACCAGCCCGGGCAACACACCAGGACCTCCACCTCTTTAAAACATTTTTTTTAATTTAAAACAAAACAAAACAAAACAAAACAGCCAGGCGTGGTGGCTAGTGCCTTTACAGTCTTAGGTACTCTGGAGGCCCAGGCGGGAGGATTGCTTGATCCGATTGCTTGAGCCCGGGAGTTCGAGGCTGCAGTGAGCTATGATGGCACCACTGCACCTCAGTCTGGGCAACAGAGACCCTATCTCTAAAGCAAAACAAAAAAGCCCCCAGAGTGTAGTGACCACGCAGAGGTGAGGACTTAGAGGCGGGTATGGCAGGGCCAGAGCCCCCATCACAGCCCCTTTCTAGGCTGCATCCGGGGCCAAGGCAAGGTCTCACCCTGCTGGCCGTAGTTGAGAAGGCAGTTCAGAGAGGAAACTGCTAAGCAGGTAGCTGGAGGTGGCAGAGGAAACCGGGATGGGACAGGAACAGAGAAGTCCCCATGGGACTTAGCACCCGATACTCCACCTGGGTCCGTTTCTGTCGGACACTTCGTCACCTCCGGATCCCGGGCAGCTGGATCCCATAGTTCGGCCTCCTCCTCCACCCAGGAGATGAGCGCCGGCTTGCTGCCTCCGACTCCTGGGGGAGAAGAACGCAAACCCCACGCTGCGGGGAGGCCGCCTGCCCGGCCCCGGGACCCCCAACTCCACGCGCATCTCCCAGAGGCGCGGCAGGGCGTGTGGGGGCGCAGGGCCCAGGTGAGCAGGTAGGGCTCTCACCGAGCGCGCCCAGGTGGCCGTAGGTCTCCCGCATCACGTCCCGGTACAGGGCCCTCTGCGCGGGTCGCAGGCAGCCCCACTCCTCCCGAGAGAAGTACACGGCCACGTCGGCGAAGCTTACGGTCCCCGGCTTTCTCCACTCGGGTACTGCCCCGTTTGGATCCCGAGAAGGGAGCGGGGCCAGAGGCGGCGCCATGGGGACTGTCAGCCCCAGCGACGAATCGGTCACCTCCCCTGGCCGGGCCTGGGCATACGGAACCTCCTGCGCCCGAGAACGCCTCCCTGGCCCAGTCCCAAGGGAAGGAGGGAGGTCACTATAACTCCCGAGGGCCCACTAGAGGGGATGGAAACTAAGGGCCGATGGCTGCGAGTCCATAGTCAGAACTGGACTATTTCTTCAAAAAAAACTGCGGCTGCGCGACCTCTCGACCGTTGCCCCTGCGCAATTGTACCCAGGACGACGCCCCCCGCCCCCACCCCCAGGCAGCGTTCTCTCCGTGCCCTAATCCAAAATGGCCGTTGCGGCTACAGGCGCCGGCCTTGAAAACCAACCAAGTATGCTCTGGCCCCGCCCGGTGAGGCCGCACAGCTCAGAACTCAGCCCGGGTTTGCAGAAACAAAGGAGCCTCCCACGGAAGGGAACCGTCGTGAACTCAGAAGTTAGTTTTAGTCCCAGGACCTTTTTAGAATCGGGCTCCAGCCCATCACCCTCTCGTTTTGTCCTCAGGAACGGCGGCAGCAGTCTCTTCCCAATGTTGAGAGCAAAAAGTGTGAACCCAGAAATTCCGAGATAGATCTCAATTTCTTGCCAAGGTTGACGACACGCGCGTGACAGCCTCAGGAAGTCCTCACGACATGTGCCCAAGGTGGTCGGGACACAGCTTAGTTTTATACATTTTATGGAGACATGAGACATCAATCAGTGTATGTAAGTACATTGGTTCTGTCTGGAAAGGCGGGACAACTTAAAGCAAAGGCAGGAAGACTCGAAGCAGGGAGGGGCTTCCAGGAAACTGAAGGTGAGGCACAAACGGTTGCGTTCTTTGGAGTTTCTGATTAGCGTTTCCAGAGGATGCAATCAGATATCCATCTATGTCAGCCAGCAAAGGGGTGACTTTGAATAGAATGGGAGGCAGGTTGGCCCTAAGCAATTCCCAGCTTGACTTTTACCTTTAGGGTAGCGATTTGGGGGCCCCAAGATTTATTTTCCTTTCACAAAAGCCATGGAGTGGATACAGGAGACCCTCCTCTATTGTAGGCTTGTTGGAGCTTGAAATCCTTGGAGCTTCTAGATGGCGGAAGCAGCCAGGAGAGTAGGGTAAGGTTGAGAAGGTCAGAGGGTCCTCTCTTCTAGGAGTTTCTCCCATGTGCTGTGCAGGACGCCTCCCGACCGCCGGTCTCCCTCTAGCTGCAGCCAGGCTCTCGGCTCCCCTCAGGTCCTGCCCCTACGCGGATGGCCCAAGACTCCTCCGCTCAAAACCAGCTCATCCCTTTCTTACCCCAACCTGCTTTCCCTGGGATCTTTATGTCAGTAAATGTCGCCAGCTCTCCCACCAGACCTCCGTCTCACACTTCCTGATGGCCTACTCTGTGCTCCACCTGACTTCATACATGTCCTGTGTACTGGAGTCAGAGTAATCTCCAAGGCGCCTTTTAGCTCTTAGTGGGCTCTTTAGTTGAATCTAGGCCTAGATTGAGAATCGTCTGTAATCCTATCTACTGGGAGGTCGAGCATCTCTTGAGTCCAAGAGAATGAGATCCGCCTGCTCAACTTAGGAGACCCTGTCTCAAAAATAAATAAGAAAAAAGGAAAGAATACAAATTGTATCTGTTTTACATGTACTCAGGGATCTTCACAAGACAGAGCAGTCAGAAAAAATGGCTGAAGCCAAGTTTTGCTTTTATATTTCTTTTTTTCTTTTCTTTTTTTTTTTTTTTTCCAGAGACAAGTGAACATTTATTTTTATGGCTTTCTTCCTATGTGTATTTCAAGTCTTTTTCAAAACAAGGCCCCAGGACTCTCCAGATTCAGTTATGTCCTTGGGCTTGGTCGGCTGCTGCAGGAGCCTTAAGGAGCCTTTTACAAATGCTAGAGTTACTCATTTATCAACATTAAACCCTAGGATAGATGCAACAGAGCAAGACTCCTTCCTCCGTGGAATGTGCTGATTTCAGATGACGTGGCACCCAATGTAGAAAATGCTGGAATTTTTCCTTGGAACTGCACTGTGATGAGAAGTGCTTGCCATGAACATAAGCTACTGTCTTTTCTTTTCTTTTTTTGAGACGGAGTTTTGCTCTCGTTGCCCAGGCTGGAGCGCAATGGTGTGATCTCTGCTCACCACAACCTCCGCCTCCCAGGTTCCAGCGATTCTCCCACCTTAGCCTCCCGAGTAGCTGGGATTACAGGCATGCGCCACCACGCCCAGCTAATTTTTATATTTTTACTAAAGACGGCGTTTCTCCATGTTGGTCAGGCTGGTCTCAAACTCCTGACCTCAGGTGATACGCCCGCCTCAGCCTCCCAAAGTGTTGGGATTATAGGCTTGAGCCATCGCGCCTGGCCAGCTACTGTCTTTTCTTTTCAGTTTTTGAAGATAAAGCAGGAAATAATCTCTGAAGTACTTGATAAAAATTCCCAAAACAACAAAAACACATGCTTCCACTTCATTGATAAAAATTTATCGCAGTTTGGCACCTGAGTCTAGTTCAGCTGACAGATGAGCTGATTGATGCATTCACCCTGATAACCAGGTGTGCCCATCTCCTTGAGGAAGCCCACTCTATTTTTGGTAGCATCTTGGGCCACTGAGAGGTGGAAAGGATGCAAGAACCATGAGAGCTCCTGGAAATGCTTCCCTGGGAAGGCAATTTAATGAATGAGGTCTTCCAAGCAAATGACACCAAACTTCCCCAGGTCCTCCTCAATCACTGTGTTGTCTGTCAGAGGGATGGTCTTCCTCTTCTTCTTTTTTTTTTTTTTTTTTTTTTTTTTAAGACAGAGTTTTACTCTGTCGCCCAGGCTAGAGTGCAGTGGCGTGATCTCGGCTCACTACAAGCTCTGCCTCCCGGGTTCACGCCATTCTCCTGCCTCAGCCTCCCGAGTAGCTGGGACTACAGGCACCCGCCAACACACCAGGCTAATTTTTTGTATTTTTAGTAGAGATGGGGTTTCACTGTGTTAGCCAGGATGGTCTCGATCTCCTGACCTCGTGATTCACCCGCCTCGGCCTCCCAAGGTGCTGGGATTACAGGCATGCGCCACCACACCTGGCCGATGGTCTTATTCTTGACCTTGGCTGGTCCATGTTTCAAAATGAGTTCCCAGACAGACTTCAGATTTGGAAATCCTCAGGTCACATAAGGTTCCACTATACGTAGCGTTTTTAGGTTCTAGGGGGTGACTTTTTACAAAGACACCACTAAAAATTTTCTTTAGGCGAAGTCTTGCAATGGTTCTCTGCACCAGTAAACTCACACCATCTATCCTTTTGATGCATACAACAAAGGCCAAGGAATGTTTATCTGGCAATTCCAAGGCATGAGGTTTCGCTTCTAGTCGTCTGAGATGCACCTTGTCACGTTTCTCCTGCCAGGAATCATGTAGGAATGATTCCAGTCGCTTAAACCTGAGCCCTTTTCCTTTCCTCTGCTCCTTCTTTGCCAAAAGTGCCTGCTTTGCCTGGGTGGCTTTGAGGGCTTGATAAGACCTCCTATTTTTCAGGAGATTTTCTGGAACCAAAAGGATTTTTCTTTGCTCTTGCTCTGCCATCTTTCTAGTGGTGCAGCTACTGATCATTTTCTTTCTTTTGTTTCTTTCTTTCTTTTCTTTCTTTTTCTTTTTTTTTTGACGAAGGCTCGCTTTGTTGCCCACACCACTGCGCCCGGCCTATATTTCTTAAAGAACTATAATTTTTATTTATTTTTATTTTTTTGAGATGGAGTTTCGCTCTTGTTGCCCAGGCTGGAGTGCACTGGCGCGATCTCGGCTTACTGCAACCTCTGCCTCCCGGGTTCAAACGATTCTCCTGCCTCAGCACCCTGGACAGTTGAGACTACAGGCATGCACCACCACACCCAGCTAATTTTGTATTTTTAGTAGAGATAGGGTTTCACCATGTTGGTCAGGCTGGTCTTGAACTCCTGACCTCAGGCAATCCACCCACCTTGGCCTCCCAGAGTGCTGGGATTACAGGTGTGAGCCACTGCGCCCGGCCAAGGACAATAAATTTTAAAAGAAATGACAGGACAAAGAAAATCTGGCTAGGGCAGTACAATTTTCAAGGGGAGATCTATGTTGGGGGGAGGGTGTGAAACAGGTGGAAGATATGGATTACTTTGTTAAGTGTGTTTATTCTGGTCCCTTGTGGACTCTAAGGGCTATTTTCTCACCCTGGGGAGCGGAGGCAAAAAGTTTGGGAGGGACATAAGGATTCAGTGTTGCCCAGGGGGTGTGGTCCCAGCCCTAGGTCTCCCAGGCTCTCAGGCCTCTGAAGGACACAAGAGAAAACTGAAAACTTCCCTTAAGAGCAATGACATTTCTTCTCTTACAGTGCCCACCCCTCAGCGTGGTGCCTATCACCCACAGTCTGGAAGAGCTCTGGGAGGTGCTGGAAGCTCCCGTGGGGGTCTGGACCCTCCTGGGAAAGAACCAGGGGCAGAGTTCACAATCCTGGAGGTCAGCCTCTGAGGCCCATGTCACCAGGCCAGTGGATCCACTGAATGGCCCCTGGCTCAAGCATTGCCAGCAGTGGGGACAGGCGAAGGAGCACAGGCCCGCTGGGCAGCAGGAAGCAGGGGTGGACCTCGCTGTGGGAGAAGTGGGTGCTGTACCAGCTGCGGGAAAAAGGTCGCTCCCCGGAGTACCTGGGGCCTGGCTGAAGGTACTGGCGAAGTGTGGCTGCACTGGGGACAGGAATGAGGTACTGGGTGAATGCCAGATGTTGATGCCGGGCAGAGACTGCAGGTTTGGGGAAGGTCTGGCTGCAGGGAGCCTTGGCCAAAAGCTCAGAGACCAGGTCAGTGTTTCTGATGCCAAGGGCTTATGACAGCTCCCAAATAGACTCCTGCTGGTCCCTTCCAAATGTGTTATTTTTCTGAGCGGCCATTGGGAAACTGCTGATTCAAAACTTACCTCTTGCCTTGTCAACTCCCCAAGGCCTACTCATATTCAACCTTCACAACAGCAGCATTCAGATGGGTACCCCTGAGAGCCACCCTCATCCCCCACCCCCAGACAGTGCTGGCCAACTGAGGAGCTCACCAGGCAGTGACATTCCCGCATGCCTCAAGGCCAACCAGAGGAGCCGCCGTCAACCACACAGGCAGCTGTTCCAGGGCCCAGGGGCCTGGAGAGAGAAAGGTGAACTTTCTTCATCCTAAACTTGAATTCACGCACTGCCACTGAATGGGCCGATTCATAGCACGGCCTGACTGTAGTCCCATGGAATGTCACCAGTCAAATTAAGTGCTGGGCGTGGTGCCTCATGCCTGTAATCCCAGCACTTTGGGAGGCCAAGGAGGGTGGATCACCTGAGATAAGGAGTTCAAGAGCAGCCTGGCAAACATGGTGAAACCCCATCTCTACTAAAAATACAAAAATTAGCTGGGTGTGGTGGCACAAGCCTGTAATCCCAGCTACGCCAGAGGCTGAGTCAGGAGAATGGCGCGAACCCGGGAGGCAGAGGTTGCAGTGAGCCGAGATCACACCGCTGCACCCGAGCCTTGGTGACAGAGTGAGACCCTGTCTTTAAAAAGAAAGGAAAAAAAAAAGGCCGAGCACGGTGGCTCACACCTGTAATCTCAGCACTTTGGGAGGCTGAGGCAGGCCAATCAGCTGAGGTCGGGAGTTTGAGACCAGTCTGACCAACATGGAGAAACCCCATCTCTACTAAAAATACAAAATTAGCCAGTCGTGATGGCGCATGCCTGTAA